CTGGTCTCATGCCTGCCCACAAATAAGTATAAATCGGTATGCTTTTCTCGCGTGGAGGAATTTCTACTTACCCATCCAAGAACTCTTTTTCACACTGAAGGCATCAGCTACTCCCATTATCCCTTTCCCACCAAGTCATTCAGACTTCTGCTCGTGCTGCGTTATCTCTACACCATTGCTTCTCGTCTTCCTTAGATGTCTATTTTGTTTCTTCTTTACCCCATGACTCACAAGGGCAAAGATAGTTCCTTTTTCTCCACTATCTGGTGTGTTTTAGTCAGTATATAATAAATGACAAATATCTTGTTGATATATTGAATAAACATGGTATGTTTTGTTGCTTAATGAACAGAAAAATGCATAAAATTGATAACACAAGGAATAGACATCTAATTATATGGTGCAAACTAAAGCAATTGGCTTGGTGGTGAAAAAGAAATGTGCTATTAGTTTATCCTCTTCAGGTATATTTGCTTCCCTGAATATGAAGACTGGTAGTCAAATAGAACACATCAATATTATTCCCTGTTGGGCTCTTATCCTGGCAGGAGGGACTGGAAGCATGTGGTGGGATAAAGCACATGGTGAACTCTGTGTCAAACATGACAACTTGCTTCCTTGGTTCTATCACTTGCTGCTCCAAAGTGGTGAGGTCCAAGAGCGCCCCCTAAGTGGTCAGAAGCTGGGCCAGCAGAAACCCTCTGGGTGAAGACAGCACGGCTGGCAGCTGTGTTCTGCGCGGGGTCTACACCTGCAGGTGGATTCTCTGAGACCTATCAACTCTTCCAAAGATAGACACACTGTGATGCCGTCCTCTTATTTAGCACCCATGTTGCAACTTTAGAATTCAGTTTGGCAGTTATCTGAGAAGCACATGCTGTAAGGAAGTATAGTAATACCTAAAATGCAATCGTTCATCTCTTTGACTGGAAGAATATACATGTTATCAATACAGTGGGAAATGAATTCCCATCCTTAAAAATAAGTGCATTTATTGTTTTCATTTTAATACATATATCTCCTGCACAGTAAATCTAGATTTTAAGTTTTCTTTTAACATTGATTTATGCATTTACTTCCATTATTATTTATTTATCTATTTATGCATTTATTTGAAAGGCAAAAAACAGCCAGAGAGAAAGACATGGAAAGAGATTTTTTTTTTTCCATTTGTTGGTTCACTTGCCCAATGGTGGCAACAGGCAGGTCTGGGCCAGGCTTATATCTGGGCTCCATCCTGGTCTCCCACTTGGGCTGTAGGGAACCATGTGGAGGCCCGACTTTGCTCCTTCCTTGGCTTACCAACAGGGAACTGGCTGAGAAGCAGAGCAGCTGGGACTCCATTAGGCTCGTTGATAGGAGATACTGTGACACAACACCGTACTCCCTGACTTACTGTCAGCACCACTAATTTCAGTAATATTAAAGGAAACTATCCTAACGTAATTTATAGGGAGTCAAATCACCAACAATTTCTGCATGTAGTCACTGTTAGTTATTTAAAAAGATGGTAGAGTTCTAGCTCTAGTTCATATGATATTTTATGCACAGCTAATTCTCACAGCCTTCTTTACCATGAGCTGAAAACACCAGATGCAACCAGGTATCTTAGGAAGTTTATCCAGTGGGGCAGGAACAAGGTGAAGGGTGGTGGAGATCAGGAGAAAAGGGCAGAAGGAAACACCTGGGGCCTTTTATGCAGGTAGGCCCGCAAGGTGTGGGGGTGGGGATTGGGAGGGTTTGAGGGCGGGGCCCCAGGGATTAGTGCCTGGGGATGATTGGTGAGTGGGCGGGGCTGGGAGATTGGGGGTGGGATTCTCAGGTGGAATGCCAGGTTACATCTGATTGGTGGATGGCTGGACTGGCACGAATTTCGTGAGCTGTGAGGAAGAAGAAATGGCACTGGGTCCAGGGTGGGATATTGGAATAAGTCCTTACATTCCTCCCTTTTGTTATATATAAAGGAAGAGGGGCATTGTTCTCTATGGCTTCTAGAGCTGTTTTCTCTTGGCAGTGGTTGCAGCCTGGTGGGAGGAATGCGAGATGGAGGAACGCTTCTTTCTAGTCCTGCAAAATAAACTGGTTAATGGTTTGATTAGAAAAAAAAATTACATTTCAGTGGATGGGAATGGAGGGAAGGGGTTATTAAGAGTGACTTTGAAAAGCTAGCTTGAGTTCATTTTGTCTTAGCCAGGCCTTCTTGTACTTGATTCTTCATTACTCCTGAATGGTCAATGTAGACAGGGGAGCTTCACAGGAACCAGAGGCCCTGACTGCCTATCATCATATCTAACTCCTCACATTTCCAAACAGAGCAGTGAACAGGGATAAAGGGATGAAGACCGCTCTAGCTTCTTCGAGCTGAAAGGGGGCGTTGTTGAGTAACTGCAGCAGTAGGAGGTTCTAGCGGTTCCTGATAGAAGGTAGAAGTCATCAGATGTCTGAAGTACTGCCTGGCACTTGGAGGCTTCTCTTTGTTGAAGTCTAGATAACAAAATATATCATAATTGTAATCTTTCCCAGCCTAGCAGGTCATGAGCTCAGTTAGAAACCCAGTTGGAATACTTGGGCTTTCAAGCTTAGATATAAAAGAATTGTCAGGTTTCAACCTTTATCAGAGTAAACATTGGATTAGATTAAAACAATGGACTAGATTTATATCAGTTTAACTTAACTATTTCACGTCCCAAATTTGAAACATACCCAATGAATGCAATGGAACACATGAAACCTTTTTGGTTGTATAAAATTGTTACCTGAAACAATGAAAGGATTAGTGTGTGGCATCAGAATATAAATCCATCACAGGACAGGTAAATGCAAGCTGACTTCTCAACTAACCTTAACAATGATTGCATTTGACGTTTGAAAATGCTACAGTAGTTTTGAATCCAGCTAAGAAGCAGGAAAGTGCTAGATTTTCTTGACAAGTTATACTTTACCAATTGTTGCAAGCCCTAAGAGTTTCAGGAAGACACATAGCCTAGAACATATAGCACAGCACTTAAAACATTCTGTTTTCAAGACCTACTAGTCACATTGTAGATGGCACAAGATTTAAACTAGTTTTCATTTATAATAACCTAGCACTTTATAGTATTCCAACAAGAGTTTACAGAACTTTATACACTTTAAGGCAGAGGCAAGCAATCTACTAACTTACAGGCTAACAAGCCATGTACTGGCAATTAAAGAACACAAGAATCTTAAGTAGATGAGCTGAAAAATCCAAAATAACTTGGCAAATAAGCAAGACACGAAGTCTACCTTACGACAGTTCAGAGAGCCTACTTCAGTGAAGTGCAGTAAAACTGAAGAGCGAGATGGCAAACAGGCCCTGTCGGGAGCCTGGTCAGTGATGCGGGCTGAGCAGTTACAGGTTAACTTTTCCCTCGAAATGGCTTCATTTCTGAGCTTCTAGATTATTCTGTCACCTAAGCTAATTTGGGGCTGCTGAGAGACCCTGACGGTCACTACAAGAGAGGGAAGAAGCCCAAGCCTGCTAGGACAGAGAAGGTAGTGTCCATATGGAAACTTACAGTTTTCCCTTCCTCTGTGAGAACCACCTGGAGCTCCTGGGTGCTGTTCCGAGGTGTCACCGAAGCCTGTGGATGGCCTTGAACCTGTGCAGGTTCCTGGGCTGCTTCTGTCCCATGTGGGAGATCCAATGGGAAAAGACTGACCTGAAGTACTTGCCTTCAGGGGCAGTCATATCTCCAATGACCTCCTTGGTAGCTGGGACATGGCCCTATGTGTCCTTTCTGATGATGCTTGGTGAAGTGTCCGTCACTTCTGCAATGAAGAGTACTTGGGAGGCCTCGGGGGTCTCACTGGAACCAGGAGCACACACCTCTCCCATCCTGCTCTGCCATGGGATCCCCTCCTGGTCTCTGAGGTAAAAGACCGTGGTGACCCCTTTAAGAGGATATCAGGGCACGTTCAGGTCCCATTTGTAAGTTTCTAAAGTTCTGTCCTAATGTCCAGGGCAGTTAAGAATCTAGCATTTATATATCACCTATTCTTCTCTATATAGGATCTAATGGAATATACGCAACTAGAAGGCATCACACGCACATACACACACTGACCTGCACACGCATGTTCTAGCATGTGCATCATGGTGTAATTTTTTTTTAAGTTACAGCATCTAACATCTGTAAGCTAAAACTGCTGTGCTTGTCTCCCTACAAAAAAGAAACCGTGCTTCGTGAGTGCCCTGAATTTTGCTCAGATGCGCTGTTAGAATATTCCAGGTATTTGTATGGAAAGAGAATAGTGATCTAGAAGAATTCTTTTTTTGCTCCTCTCACGAAGTGGGCACCAAGGGCCCATTTAAGGCCCTTGTAGCGTCGCATCAATGCCCTCAAAGAGGCAGGGGCTGTATTGAACAAAGGTATCACCAACAGCAAGAAGGTGGGGTGCGGGGGGTGGGGTGGGGGGCATTTCCTGGCTTTAGAGCTTTATAGAGTTTTGAGCCAGGAAGCTTTCTCACAGGGCGGGGACTGCCTTAGCCTCTCCAGGGACCTGCTCCCGGCCAAGTTCGCCTCAAGTTTTCCCTCCCCGCCTCCTCCATTCCCTGCGTCAGCTCCCACACGTGGGGGAGTCCCCAAGAGAGTGCCTGCGTGGATACCTGAAAACCGCCAGACTCGGACTCCGCCGCCTGTCCGTTTTCCATGCCCACACTCCCAAACCTGGCGAGCCCCAGAGAAGGCCAAGGACTCCTGGAGGCTCATCCTACACTTGGGGAGCAAGCCTGGAGAGAACAATAGCAAGCCGGAGCCAGCAGCTCCTTCCTCCGTCCCAAACGGCTCGCGGGTGGCGCGCAGAGCCCACACCGAGCCTGGGGCGCAGAGCTGGAGCCCCGAAAAGGCGCACTGCCCCTTTAAAAGGCCGCGCATCTCCAGGCCGGCCTTCCTCCCCGGGGCTCCAGCTGTGATTGACGCTGGGCGGCGAGAGGAGGCGCCTGGCGCTAACAAAAGTCCGGCCCGCGGGCGAGCTGCGCCGGGCCGCCAGTCGCCTCAGGCTCGGGGCATCCGCAACAAGTGGCCGCCGCTTCCTCCCCAGGGAAGCCGTGGGCGCGCAGGGGCGCCCCAAGGAGGCGGCCGAGCCCGGCAGCCCGGGCGCCCGCGCGGCTCAGCGCCCACCTCAGGAGCTCGGTGGGCGGATGGGGACCCGGTGGCGGCGGCGCGGCGAGCCTCTGGGCGGCCCCCGGGCGCGGGCTCACGGTGGCGCTGCGCCCGCCGGCCCCGAACGCGGATTCTAAGCGGCGGGGCCCCGCCCGGAGCCCTCGGGGGGTGGGGTGCCAGGAGTGGGGACCGAGCGCCACCTCCCACCGGAGTGCAGGAGCCGAGCCCGGCCCGGGAGCCGAGGGCTATGCGCAGCTAACGGTCCCGTCGAGCGGGCTTTCCAGTGGCCAAGCGCGCAGGAGGTGCGCCCCAGCTATGCAGTGTCCAGGGAGACGGCGGGCATGACGGCGACAGGATGGGCGCGAACAATGGCAAACAGTACGGCAGTGAGGGTGAGTGGGCCGCCCGTCCTCACACTCCCGGATAGTGCCCCCTCCCCCTCCGCCTTGGCGTCCTCGCGGCTGGGTAGCGGGTTCACGCACGCTGCCCCGGCGCGCCCCCGCTTGGCACCCTGGCTGTGCCACCACCTTCCTTCTTGGCACTGATGAGCCATGAGCGGGGTGAGACACCCCGAGGGTGCTTTTCTTCTCCTGGGTGGGTGTCTTTAGGCAACTTCCCAGGACGGCCCAAGTTGCGTCGCAACTGCGTTTGAGAACACATGCGCCTCCTCTTTGCCCCCGTGGGCGCCTGGGTTTTAGGGTGATGGTTTGGCAGATAGTGAAGAAGACGTTTTGGAAAAAACAACGCGGTGCAAACTTTCCCAGGCCTTTGTGCTACGGTGCTCTGGACTTAACTTTCCTGTGGCAGGAAGCACTTCTGAGAGAAGTGAAGCTTGCATTCTTTGCTAACTGTCCCTCTGGTCTGACAGCTTCGTGCAACTCACCACCCTGGGGTCCTGCGAGGCTGCACGCTTTGTCTGGGTTCCCTAGGGCTCAAGACGGGCAAAGGACCATCTGTTACAAGCGGCTGGACATTGCCCAGAAATATTGCCTGTCAAGTGGGAACTTGGAAGTTGGGGAAACTTGAAACTCCACCTACTCCTCAAAGGATGATGGATGTGTGGGTTGGCTTCTCCCTCGGCTCTCCTCCCCCTCTGAGCATAAAACCCTAGTGTTGTAGCCCGATTGATGAACAGCCCTTGATATGCATAAGGCGAGGGCGTTTTGTGCAGTTTAGCAGTCAGCAAGGTTTGTATCTGGTGAGCTTGGCTCGGGGGGAGTGGAGGAGACGCGGTCAGCCTCCCGGCCGGCCCCAGCGGACAGGCGGTGGCGAAGGAGGGGCCGGGCTTGCAGACTGGGAGGAATGCAGAACAGCAGTGAGCATGCGGGCTTGAGGAGACTCAGATGATCCGGTTCGAAACTTGGAGTTGTGGTCACAGAGTGTGGGTGTTTATGCCCCCGTGTTTATGCCTGCTCGTTTCCCAGCGGCTTGGTGGAGTTACAGAAGAAACCGACCCTCAGAAACGATCTCCACATGAAGCCTTTGTTGAAGTCATCGTTTTCCAGAGCATCATGTTCTGGATTCCATCTATATGTTTATATATACATACACACACACACACACACACACACACACACACACATCCATACACACACACACACACACACACACATCCATACACACACACATCCATACACACACACACACACCCATACACACACACACACACACATCCACACACACACACACACACACACACACATCCATACACACACACAGTCTTGATTTTTTAACTCTCCAGAAGTATACATAAGTAGTGACAGGTCTTCAGAAAGTTCATGGAGAATGTGTATTATGGAAAAAAAGAAAGTACTAGGCTTGGATTTCATTTTTTGGCACTAAAATAAGCATGCCTTTGAATTCTATTTTCCAGAAACTTTTTTGGGTTCTGTCTATCTGTGTATTTATCCTGGGCTGTTAGGATTGATAGTTTTTACCATTTCCTTAAAAAAAAAAAAAGAAATAGAAGGTTGTCATTTTAGATAGAAAATAGGAAAGGATGCCAAAAGATTATTGGAGAATCTTGGCCACTCCCCAAGATGTTGTAGAGTTAATGTTCCTAAAATGTGTGGAAAAATGAAAGATTAAGCCTTCTTGCTCTGAGTCATTAAAAAGCTTTCAGTAATTGTGGCGTGTCCTTGTCAAGGCTCGCATGCCCGTGGTGTGCACTGAGCAGTGCTGGGGGCGAGGCCAGCCAGGGGACCTTGCAGCGCCTCTCAGCACCCCCTTGGTGCAACTTGTTCTGAGATCCCAGCCATTCTCGCCGTGTGCAGTGTGTGGTACAGGACGGCTTCCTGTCTGAAAGGCAGAATGTTCAGCCCCTGGGAGAGAACAGGAGAGACAGGGAACTAATGTCCTCCAGCTGTTATTCGTAAATGCTACCTCTGCATTTTCACTTCAGCCCAAGTCCGATTTTACTGGGATCAGATTTAGATACACTGCGGACTTGTTAGAGACAAAGCCTCTTGTACTCAGCTGATTCGCGGGACCAAGAGGAAGTCTGGGGAGGAAAAGTCTCGTGTTTGGGCTGGGCGGGGGGTGTGGTTAATTTTCTTCCACCCCCTTCAGATGTACCAACGTTTCTCTGTGATGGAAAGACTAGAGAAAGATGGGTAACAGGACCTTCCCCCCACTTCTTTTGCTGCTCTGTTTATGGCCCCTCCTCTGCAGGGTTATGCTGTACAGTTGGGTACGTTCAACATGATGCCGTGATATTATTGCCTGGTGAAGGTTATGCAAGCAATCCAGTGGGAATTTGTTGTGCCAGTGCCTTGTTTCAAACAGAAAAAGTCGAATTTCAGAAGAAGAGACATAGTTCCTAGACAGTTACCTATTCTCAAGGGAGACTGAGAATAAAAACGCTTGTGAAGATTTAGATTTATATTTCAAACTTTGGTGGGAAGTGATCCATGAGCCTATATTAATAGAGTGCACAACTTTAAAACGTTGGTATTTGTGTACAAACATCTGTGGCTTAGTATATCTTGTGCATTAGTGACTGTGGACACCGTGATGCACCCACTTCTTGAAGATTGCAGAATTATGGAGTCATTGAAATGACAAAGATATCATTGACTTATTAGTAAGTTCATATTTTCTTGCTCTTGGAAAATGATCATTTTCATAGAAAAAGTTTGTTCAGGAAGACAGCATGGGCAGGTGCCAGGGCACAGTGTTCCAGGTGTCATCGGTGTAACTCAAGGCTCAGTGTGTGGTATGAGCAATTGGGCAATTCCTTGGATTTGTAGGAAGTGGAGATTCTAGAGTTCATTCTGGAACTCCTTGGTCCTTTACCATGGCGTGTGAAGGTTTCGGGAGCTTGTTGTGTATAAGGTGGAGCGTCACATCGCAGGGTGGGAGGGTGTGAATACTTCAGACTCATTTCAGCTATTGGATGCTTCCTTCTCTAAGCGGGGTGGAGGGGGCGATTCCTGAGTGGCATCTCCATTTTCTGCTCCTTGAGTGTGTTGCCATTCATTTCGTATCTCATGGGCTACTTAACAGAGATTAAACCCCGAGAGGCATGTTTGAATTTATTGGAAGTTAGTAAGTTACACCTGCACGTCTGTTTTTCTCTGTGTTGCCCTTTCCACCTCCCTCTTGCTTCTATTAGTCCCCAAATCCTTGCATTTCTTGCAACATCAAAGGGACTGTATACATCCAGAACAGGTGTTTCCAAGGTGTTTTGTTTTCCTTAGCACTGGTAATGACCCAAGTTATGATCTAATTGGCAATCTTGCCACCGTCTGCCTTCATGCCGGCTTGGGTTTTGCCCTGCGCTAAATTAATCTTTAGCTATTTAGAATCAGAAGTGAATGTCTGAGTGATTAGGATGTTCTGGTAACTTCTTTTATGGAGGGCTATTTTTTTCTCTTTATCTTTCGTAAAACATATGTTGCACCTCATGCATAGAAATCTGAAGAATGAATTGGGAGATTCAAAGCCATTAGGACCATTAACTCTGACTCCAGTGAAGCCAAATAAACAAATCCCAGTTCAAGTAGGGGGAGAGGTGCTGTTTTCCCTGCCTTTTAAGGTTTCCCAGCCTCACAATCACTTACTCTGCGGTTTCAGTGTCATGTTTATTCTACACCAGCAGGTCAGAGGCAGGAGCACTGACACTGTTAACAGCCCTTTTGCAAAACCCTGCAGAGTGTTGAATTGGAGCTGATGAGCCTTAGCAATGGGATTTGAACATTGGTAGCTTTCTACTCCACTAGGGGCTATGGGTCCCTTTCGTGTCTCAGATGTCTGCTGATAGATAAGACGCAAGCCAATCACCCTAGAGTATTAATCATCGCTACTCCATCAGCACCTTGGGAAGTACACTTTGAAATAATGATGGCGGTTGACATTTGATGTGAGAGTGTATTTCCAGGCATAATTCTAATCACTAGATGTGTTCCAACTCCCTTCATGCGCACAGTGATCCCCTAAGAGCAGGAGCTCGGGTGTTCCTGACTTCCGTGTGAGGAGACACAGCCCTAGAGAACATGGTAATTTCTCCCGAGTCAGGCAGTGAGTGTAGGTTGAATTCAGAGCAACTCTTAAGTCTAAAGTCTAGCATTCATTCATCTAGCACGTTTGCATTTTACTCAGGTCAGGCTATAGTTCAGGCTCTCTTAGTTTCTTGGCATTATTCACAGATGAAGATCGTGTCTTGCATATTCCTGTGTGTGTGTGTGTGTGTGTGTGTGTGTGTGTGTGTGTGTGTGTATTGGGATGAAGGGGGATTTGGACAGTTGATACACACATACATGCACACACATGGCAATTTAATAAATCACGTGGTACATGGGGTCAAGTCTCTGAATAATGAAAATTGGCAGATTAAGGTAATTCGGAATGTGGGAGGATAATGGCGCTGCAATTTTAATTAGAATAGTCACTCTGGTCTTTACTGAAAAGGCAGCATTTAAACGACCCCTGAAGGCAACGGGGATTGTGCATGGGGCATCTGGGTTCCCTGTCACTGTTACTTGCTGTGGCGCTAAATGAAGGGGAATACTCTGTGCTTGTTCTAGTCATTTTGAGCTGCAGTAACGCAGTAGCAGGGATGGGGTGACTTTACAGTATAGACACTGTTTTCTCCCAGTGTGAAGCACAGCAGCCTGAGGTCAGGCTTCAGCATGAGCAGGCTCTGGTGAGGGTGGTCATCTTCCCATGCGTTCACATGGCCGTGGTGGTGGTGCTCACATGGTGGGGCTCACACAGTGGGGCTCACACAGTGGAGGCATATAATTTTCTTTATTTTAGATGAGGCTTACATAGTTGATCAGGGAGGGAAGAATCCGGTGTTAGGGAGAAGTGGGTGTGATCATTGTTGCCAAACTTTCTGTTTCTTCCCATTTCTGAGGGCAAGGGGGTGACAAGGGGAGAAGGCATACTCAGC